TAAACCAAGGCTCGTGCGTAGCCGATCGTCGAGTAGGATAGTGGGGAGGGCGGCTCCATCTTCATAGGCATATGTACGATTCCATTTGTGGCTGGTACCACGGATACAGATGCTGGTGGCTCTGATAATATTATACAGAGTGTAAAGCGATAGGGTATACAAGAGAGAATTTTTTTTGAAATATTGATTTATGAAAAAAATTTATTCTTCATGATATTTTTTGCTTGCTTTGAAAGTACCAAAAACGTTTCGATTGTTTGTGGATTGATAGCAATACGCTATCTTGATTATAATGTAGAATGATAACTTTCAATAAAAAAAATTAATTTTATTATTTTTCCAGATTTCTATAAATAAATTTTAGATTATCGAAACGTTATTGGTACTTTCAAAGCAAGCAAAAAATATCATGAAGAATAATTTTTTTTTCATAAATCAATATTTAAAAAAAATTCCCTCTTGTATACCCCATCGCTTTACACACTGTACATATTTATATATTACATCCCATATCCCATATGGTTGTTTTCTTGAAATGACAATGCATACCCCCTAAACCCACAAAAAGGTTAGCCCTCCGGACTCTCAGAATAGTTTTTTGACATCAAATCATTAAAACTTTTCTTTATAACTACCTCTATATTGATTAAGTAGACCTTTGGCTCGTTTTATGTCCGGATTGTTTACTCCAATTTTTCAGATGCTTTGGATTTCACGGACGCTATGGATTCTTCCGATGCATCTTTAGGCAGAGTTGGTCTACTTTAGGAACAAGTATTTGAAAGCTTGTTTTAGAAACACTGTACTAAAGATTCAATTTTGGGAACGATGTAGTAATTTATTCATTTCTAAACAAATTCAACGCCGACTCTTCAGTACCATACTAAGTAGTCTTGAAACACCGTTAGCAATCCTTTTTTGTAAAAATTGGATTGTATAGAGATTTTTGGTATAAATTAAAGGTAAACGTTTATCTAAGTCATTTTATCCTATTTCTTTCACAGCTTTGGGGGGAGGGTTACTTCTTTGGTTATCCCACTAATGTTCAAGTGATAGGGGTGTCACGTGGAGTTATAAACTAGCAATGATAAAAACCTATATCTCTCGACAAGCAGTGTGATTTAACCCAGTCTATTGGCAAATTCGACATAAATTAATGAATGACTAATTAATATTAAGAAATTGTGAAGCATGGAAATACGCAAGGAAGCAGCCCGAATAGAGTGAATGCTAATACGTTAGTAAAGATTGGTTGCTAGAATCTTTTGCGCTACGACGGTAATGGAGAGTGTAACTTCGACTAGTGTTGGAAGCAATAATCTCCTAACAAAGGGAATTGAGAACTAGCAGAATCAGCTGCATAAGTTGTCAATACCGCTTTAACTTAGCTGTTGAAGGATTAACGTTGCATCCCGGTAAGTTCTAACGCAAACGAATATCCAGGAAAATTTCTAGTTCCCCTCAAGCACACATTAATAACATATTAAATCAAACTTTCGCTTCTAACAAAGTTGGTGTTATTGGAAAAATCCCGTAGAAAATTGGGTTTTGTCTGTATAACTACAAAATTTCCAGCGATTACAGTAAATATGGCTCGTTGATTATGATTATCTCAATTATGGATGTCTACTGTTTAGACATATGTTAGATTTACCTCCAAAATCGACGGGTGGGACCTGAAATAAGATGTCTGATTACAGTTAGCGTCGTTGTTTGCTGCCTATTACGTAATTGCCAGTCTGTCCTAATTTATGGTATGAATGGTAATGGCGGACACTATACATAGAAATGTGAAATGGAAAGATTTCCACAAGCTGATGTTCTAACCGCATGGCACTCCTGTATTTCTACAGTATACATATGATGCACAATTGCTCTTAAAAATGGATCCCTAAAATGCATTTTCCTGTCGCTTGTTGCGTTAGGGTCGAGTCGAAGTATGAATGGATCTCAAAATCAATATTGAAGTGCATAAACATTCTTTTCCGACTGGTATCTGTATAATGTGTGTAGCATGTGCGGAATTGAGTAAAAAATTAAAAACTCTATTTATTACTATCCGTGCCCACACTCTCGCCCACACGGGTATTGATACTATACAAATTTGTGATTTTGATAACGATAAACTTCCTCTAATGAAAACTTGCATTTTACGCCACCTCAACCACTGCATACAAAGATAACTGCAAATTATGGTTGTGGTAGGGAAGGAAGTGTCTATTTACTGGTTATATTGTAGCTTTGTATATTTGTATTTTTTATTCACGATAGGCTCAATGGAATTTAAAAAAACAGCACTTCATCAACTGGAAAGTTGCAATACATACCGCGTGATAGTTATCCTGAATACTTCAAAATATACATAAAATTGTAAACATGTGGTTGAGTTCTTTGGAGAAAATGTTGGCCTCCATCCCCTCACGACCCATTTCTTTTACAGGGTGAAAATTTTGCCTCAAATCTGAAAATCGGCATTTTTTTTAAACACGCTTTTTATGGTATCCAAAATTATGGAAAGTTTGCCACTTATTTTAAATTTGTGGTTCAGTGGCGAACTTCTACCTGGTAAATATCAAGTACAGTTTTCATTACATAGTTTTAAAAAGTACATTTTTTTGGATATAGCAGCATAAAAAACTTGGTACATTAGATCTTCAAATTTACTCAAATTAAGGGAAATAGTTTGAAGGTTAATTTCATGATTTACATTGTTTTAATTACAATAAATTGCTTTCACATAAATAACAAAAGAGTAACGTTTTTTCCAAAAAACTAGTGAAATTATTAAATTAATAATTGTTGTTGAGTTTTCTGTTATATGCCGGTTCTATTGCGCCTTCTCCACACTACTCTATCCATTGCTTCTCTTTTCATATCAACGTATCCTCTCCCCTCTTTCAGATCGTCTACTATCCTCACTTGCCTTCTTTCTCTTTTCCTTGTATCCTCCACGGCTCTTTCAGCAAACTATTTCATGACCAAGCCACATTCTCAAAATTGTTTTATATAAAAATCTCCCTTCTTGTATTCTTTTCAGTACCTGTTCGTTTCTGTCTGACCACTTTATTCCACGCATTCTTCTCCACATCCACATTTTCATAGCTTCAATTCGTTTCTTATCTTTTTTCCAAAATTGTCAGCAATGCGATACACACTTCGCTATTCTTTTCCCTATTCTTTTTCTTAGATTCATGTCCAACTTGTATAGTAGTCTACTCTTGACAAATGCCAATGCGGGGCTTTATTTCTTTCTAGCTTCTCCAATCATCTGTTACAGTGGTTCCTAGATACTGACAGTTTTCTATACATAGGGATTTATGCATATTGTTTTTCCCTATGTCTACTTTCAAAAAACAAGATCTCTTAACACTGCTCGCGAAGCTTTGTTTCGGCTAGCCAACATTGTCAAACACACGGATCAGGTTTGAGAAAAACCACTCAAGAAACCTACGGAGTCGCTTCTACCTCTCAGGGGTAACGATTCTCATTTACATACCCTGACCGTTTCTCTGAATCGCATCCGTAGCATGCACTCCAGGAAGATTATTTTGGCTCAAAACCCAATCGGTTTACATTTCAACCAAAAGTATCACCAATTACTAGCTAATAAAGAATTATGGCAATACAAGAACCAAATTCAATAAATATGGTACGCCGCACATAAAACAAACAAAAACCCCGACCAATCGTACTGAATGAACTGAATTTTAAAATCACCTGTTAAAATATATGTACCCAACATCTAAAATATAACCTAAATTGTATCAACATCCGGTATATTACTTTTAAATGAAAGCAGCCCACATCCGTAGAAAAGTTTCGCGTAAAAAATGTACACGATTCCCTAAATTATCTAAACACCCTGTAGATACTAATATCTTTAACTTTAATTAAGCTAAAGGAATTTTCCTAGCAAAATTTCCTCTCACAACGCGTAATTTCTATAAACCTAATTGAAGCGACATTCTCAATAAAATAAGTAAATCAAGCTACCCCTAACTACGACCCTTACTTAACTGTTAACCCACCCACAAACATTGAACATTGAGCAATGTTTTATAAGGCCCTGTAAAATTAAATTGATCATATCAAGTGCTAAGTAATGAAAAACAAAAGCCCTGCAGCCTACTTATTTCATGATAAATTTACAAAGAAAAATAAAGGTAAACTTTACCTAAGTTTCTTGAATAAACGCACGCACTCTGAACTACCCTCGGAACTACCTTAGTAACCATTTTCGTCGACTATAAAATGCCGCTACGATCTCGATCACTTATGAGAAAAAAACCACAGCCCATCTACTTGCCGACCTTGTGCAGTTAAATTGTTCATATATTTCCCAGTGGCGTAGCATGCGTTTTTCTGTTTTTTATCAGTATATCGCACAAAATTGAAAATGGTGGCACTAAAGAAAGTGGTTTTAGGCCGTATTATTAGCCTTTAGAGTTATCTAACAATTGGGCGAGTTACTATGGCATCCCTAGAACAGAAATATTGATTGATTTACAACCAGTAGTTCAATTGACAAATATTCAGTGTCAAAACGTTCATGTTTCATTTTTCAAAAACAAAATGGCGCTGCTGGATAAAATTTTCTCCCTCATTATTTGAAATTGGTCAAGGTGCAAGTATATACTTGTTCACAAAATGGCGGTAATCCTCAACTACACAACGAGAATTTACTCCAAAACTGAAACTTGTGGTACTAGAAAGAATAACTAACTTAAAGTGGTGCTAGCTAGAGAGATCTTCCTTTTCCCTGAAATCTAAAATGTTGAAGAATCCGAATTTTTAAATTCCTGTACTGAAAAGCGCGATCTCAAGTGCAATTGTACGTTATAATTTTAGTACAAATAACGTTATCAGCTTCCAAGACCATTTTCTTGTCCAGAACATAATTGAGGTTAAACAAAGCTTGATGGACAAATAACTTGTAAGAAAGAATAATAATTGGCCAATTATTAGATAAAGGATGATTGAATATTTAAGTTGGTCATTGAAGTGGCAGAGTAGGGACAGTTGCAATCAATTCAAGCACTTAAAAAGGACAAGCGCTTGATGGTCGTGAAGTAGTGTGCAATTGCAGTTTCTGTGACTCAGAGAAGAGCAAAGCTATTGCCGAATAAAGGTTAGATTTTTCTTTAATTTATTTATTATTATGGAATGCGTTTCGGACTAATGGAACACGCTAAAAATGTTTGTTAAATTGTCATAGCTCGTAATTAAACAATTCTCTAGTAAGTTTACACGATTTTTTACTTATGCATCTCGATCAAGTGTTTCTCTCAAAGCTTTGAAAGTAATGTGCAGTTCGCCGTAAGCAGTTTAAAGAAGTGGGTTTGGGATGCTTTAAAATTTGCGTAATTGTGCAAAGATAAATAAACAATCGTCAAGCACTTACTTTACGTGCACAAGGTAATTTAAAAAAATGTCTCTTTTATACGTAAGGCGGCTCGGTGTAACTTATATCAAAAGGGCCGGTATTGATTAACCTTTATTACTCTCGCTGGTATGCTTTGACAAACGATAGCGTTTCGGTAGATGTAATTAGCATTTTTAATAATAATATTAGGATAGAGTGGGATAGCCTAGTTTGAATAGTAAAACGACAAAGGGTAAAATCATGTAGGTACCGTAATTGTGCACATGACACATTCGAATCGGTCGCGTAAAGGAAGTATGTTTTAGAAACATGTTCATTTGCAATGAAGAGAAACAATTTTTTATGGGCATCGTGTTAAGAACAACATATCCTCATAATGTTGTTGACTGTGACACGTTGAAAGTTACAGATGATCTATTTGATTCACGTGAAAGGGCGTTGCTTGAAAAAATTCGCGTTATCCCAATTCGCGATTAATGGCATATATCGTTTTTGAATGAAATTTAGCTAATGCGTTTCGGTCAATTCTGTTGTGGATTATCGGATAAATTAATGCCATTATTGAACGCGCAGTATAAAATTTTATTTTGCTGAAAGCCTTATTTTGGATATACAGCAAGCATATGAACGTCACTAATTCAATGACCACAACCGTGTATTATTATGCATCAGATTTCCTTTTAACGGATACGTCCAATAACACCGCTACTACAATATTTTGCCATTACACAACAAACTATTTTAAAACCCCTTGTATGCTTCATAGTTGCAAAGAGGGAAAACGCTGTCCTTATGTTTTTTTACCTGTCGAAGCGACATACCTTTATCTGAGAATCTTTTGTATTGTTTCGTTTGGGTTAAAGTAGACGACGGAGAACCAAACTAAAATTTTCGAGATGCGGAGATTTAGGTCTTAATAAAATTATTTTGAAAAATAGGGCCTCCTTGCCTTTGCGATTCCAGCCTTGGACCAAAAAATCAGGAAAAAAAGGCGTCTTTGTGAAAGTTCCTTGAGATGAGCAAATTTTGACCAAGAGACATCCCATCCATAATTCTACAAGTAAGATTTTTGCAACACAACATTCCAAATTAAGAGTGGTTTTTAAGATTTTTTGATTTCTTGCCAAGAAACCATTTTCTAATTTAGGGAAATTTGTCTTTGAGACCTACTATATCCTCACCTCAACAACTTTTTAGAGTAAGATTAATTGTTTAAGTCAGTTCTATTCAAATCCGCCTCTGCAACAAGCCCCAACATTTTCACTGTACATAATACGTAAACTTTCCTTGCATCAAATATATACCCACCATCCTACCCCGTGTCGTAGAATACCCGCTCGTAGAGCAGATCCTCGACGCGGTAGTCTTTGGTAGATAGTAAAAACAACGAACCACCAACAGTAACTCAACCTACAAACTCCGCAGACTAGAACTACCCTTAGATGGTGTGTTCAGTTTGAGCTGTATGTCCCTAAACCTCAATAGGAACGCTTACGATGCAATTTATCATCTGGTGTCACGACAAAGGCAGTATAAAATAATGAGATAATTAAATGTTAAACGTAATAAAGTGACAGTTGCGAAATCAAAGCAAATATTAACTAACTGTCTATTATTTAATAGAGTAATTCTCGGTTGCAGTGCTTGCTGCAATTTTTCTATTACGATCAGTTAGTGCAGTAAGTTACTGACGTAGCCTGGCATTATGTGAATTTGTAGCAATTAGATTAGATAACCAACTTGAAAGTGCATAGGAAAGGAAAATACATGTACGTGCCATTTGCAGGCATGCAAATGAATTCGACGTTTCAGAGTAGTAATTCAGAGGAAATTGCCAGATTCCCTGTGATTAGGTATATTAGTAGCATTTCTACTGCCCTAAAACCTTACTTCTCGGTTACATTTAACGATTTTGCTATTTTTCAATTCCTTTCTCTGAACAGTAGGTATCCAAATCCATTAATTTTCATAGGGTAATTTGTTTCATGTTGTGCGCCCTTCCTCGCGCGCTGGAGCCACTTCAAAAACCACGATTCATCGCCGAGAATTAAAACGCCTGTTCAGGAAATGCACGAGACATTTTAAACTTAGTGGACTTTGTTTTATGATAATTCAAATTTGCTGCCTTTCGGCAGTTCTTAAACTTATACTTAGAGAGAATCCTCTAAAGTCGTTTATAGTGTAAAAACTCCGAAATCTGGCATAAACTTCGGTATAACGGTTTTATTACACCATCACCCACATTTCGAAATGTCTGGCTATTCCCTGTTTATCAGAAATTGCAGAATTAAAAAATGCATAATTAATCCATTTTTACTCTGTAGTGCTGCGTATTGAATGTGCCGCTTTTTCCAATTACTCCTTCTTATGATCTATAACAGCTACGGCTGAAAATGAAACTCAATAAAATAACCTTATTATCTTTAATAGCATTAACAGATTGCCTTGCTAGCCATCAACTTAATCTCAAAGATCTCCATGTCAACTGTAATTTAAAGACCCAATTCCAATGTTTCAAATTAAGTCAATGTAACGCTGTAGATTTCTCAATTAATTTTCGAGGATTAATCTCTCAATTTTACAATTAAAGTCATTGGGCAAATTTGACTTTTCGGTTCAAATTGTCCATTTCTAAACAATTTCAATTACACTTGTTGTGAACTGTGGTGCACTTGGAAAATTGAGATTAGTTTTAAAATTTTAACTCAAATAGAACTGAACATTACCAACTTTAGCTTTGGCTTAATTTTTAAATGTTTTTTTTAAACAATTTTATTTGTAATATTTTAATGTTGTAACCTTTTCTTAAATACATCTTTAGTCTAATTGCGGAACTCTAAATTTAAAACATTTTAACTCGCAACCCTTCACCATTTAAACCCAACATTTTAAAAAAGAAACAAAAAGACATTTAAAAAAAACCAGGCAAACGTAATGTTTATTTTTTTGCTCATGTACTCAGTTTAAGTTTTCTTGTTATACCACTGAAACTTTTTTTTTAATTTATTAATAACCAGATCAACATACAAAAATATTATACCCGGCTATTGAATAAAATTTTTATTCAATAACCTGGCTGAGTTGTTATGAACCTGTGTTAATGGTTCAAATGGCTTTGAGGCGAGTGACTGACTCCTCGATATTGGTCGGGGTTGATCCTGATCCTGTTTGATTTAGTTGTTGATGGATAATAGTAGTGGATGGCTAAAAGTTGAGGTCTTCTTGTAGTAGTTTTTTCTTGCGTGTGTATATTTTTACGTGTTGGCGAATGCGTTGATCTGTGATTTTGAGTTGTTTGGTTAAGTTGCGGATACCTCTATTGGATTTAATCCTAGTTCGTAGTGGATTTGTTGATTCCTCATGAACCAGGGTGCGTTAATTACAATGCGTAGTAGTTCATTTTGGAAGGCCTGAATTTTCTTGAGACACTGGACAGGCGTATATGAGTGCTAAAGAGAGCTTTGTATAGGGGATGCCACAATCATGTTGTAATGGTGTTTTCCGATTTAATAATGGGTACAGCTCTCTTAATCTGGAATATGCGACGTTTAACTTGTTGTTAATACGAAATCTCCATGTGAACCGAGTGTCGAGGTATGCTCCAAGGTATTTAATAGCTTCTTTTGTGTTATTCTATGGGATATATCCCTTCCGTCTAGACGTAGACTGGAGTGATTATGAATATGCTTCAATGTAAACATTTTGGTTCGGTTCCTACGGTTTTGAAAAACGGAAAATTATAACTAATAGTATGAACAGATGTAGTACTTCTTTCTCTAAAAAAACGTATTTAGACTTTTGCTTTAAAAAAATTAGGGGAGCTAGTAATTGACTATAAAGAAATTACCATTGAAATCCCTATGCTGCGTTGCGCTAGGCACCACCCTGTATATTTGGAAATCACATTATTTTTGTCACTCAGTTAATTATGGGAAAGAAGTAAATTTTTTGTGTTTAAGTCAATATACGATTTAAGTCCTAAAATCCAAGAGTTTTCCCGCTTTGCACGTAAAACATAAAACGATAAAACGATAGATTATACATAACATTTTTGTACGTACATCTGTTGTCTCTATATTATGGCCTGAATACGAAGAAAGTTTTGAGCCTGTTTTGTTAATCATATTGCGAGAAACGCCTATTCTCTTTTAAGGTCCGTGTAATTTAAAATATTTTCCAGTGTTCAATTTTAAATTTCACGTCACAAGTTTGAACGAAAACATACTGTCCTGTACTTACCATTCCGCTAAGTGGTTTCTTTTATTAACGCTTGTCGGTTCAATAAAATTCTCCAAGCAATGTCCGGTCAGACACTCTGAATCACAATTGCTATCCGACTGGGACAAGTCACATGAATAATTTTACAAAATTTGCGATATTCATGTTGTGTCGGCTGGTGCATGGTCAAGTACGTACTGACCTACTGCTGGAGATACGTAGTCCGATCAGATATGATATTATCTTTTATTTTAAGATTCTTAAATACACAAAAAGAATGGAAAACTACACGTGAAGGAGGGATTTCAAACAGTAAAAATGCTTGCACTGGGTTAAAATAAAAATAGAGGAGCCAAACTTCGACATGCTCTCACACCAATTATGATTGTCATTTATGGTAACTCTAGGAAATTACATATTTGGACCTGGAGTGATCTGTAATCAAACTGGTCATATTTTAATTTACTTTATAAATAATTTTCTTTAATGACGTAGGTAGGTCATTATAAGATGTAGGTATTGTAAGA